CTATACAGAATAGGTAGTAATTACTGTTTATTCGTAAATACTAATTATCAATGCATATCGAATTTATTACAACACACCTAATAACATAATGATTAACAATCACAATAATAAGTATTAAACTCGTTATCGCATGAGTCAAAAGCACTTATGTACATACGTACAATTGTACATAAATAAAACATTTTTAGATTAGGAACATAGCGAGGGATCTATACATTTTACCACGATGTGCGCAATTTTTTTTTTTTTTAGATCCTGAGTGGAGCGAAGAAGCTTATGGTTTTACAATGATATATTTTTTTTTTCTGTGGACAATTTTTCAGGAAGTCATTTTTTCGATTTTCCCAGGAGATTTCCAATTGAATGGAAAAAAACATGGTAGAAATCGGGAAAATAGGTACAATATTAAACAGATATTGTTAAAGAAAATGTTTAATGCATATTATGTGTAATTATTTTACCAAAATATGACAGGTATATATTGTTGACAGAACAGCACTATCGACCGAACTTTGTTTAGAATCATTTTTCCTTAAGTAATTGTTAATCATCGTTTATAGATATACATTCGATTTTCGTCTATATCCTACCTTCCCAACTTCTCACCTACAACAGTGGTTGCACCTATCCCCATTATCTTAGGACAGCTTTTTCTGTCTGTTGACAACTTTTCGAAAAGAGATATTGCTCCGATATAAAGAGAATAGCACCTTTTCTGGAATGTTAATTTGTCTAACTGGTGCGTTAGACAGGTTATTTTTTGATTTTTTAAAGAATTTTCGAAATACTTAAGAAAAACCCGAAAGAAAATTATAGGCAAAACGAAAAATATTTACGACGCACCGCGGCGTTACGGTTTTCATTGTTTTTAATTTTTGCAACTTATGTTTTCTACAAGAAATATTACTCGAATCGAAAAATGACAAAAGACCGATTTTATTCAATTTTTAATCTAGTTGACGGTTAAGAAAGTCGTTTTTTTAATCGAGCAAAATCGAAAAATACGTAGAAAGTATTATGGGAAAATTTACGATTAATTTTTTTTTTTTTGTTCTAATTCAGTTAAAAATATTTTTAGTAATATGGACAGAAAATGTATATTTGTTTTTTATAAACGTGGTAAAATTTTAAAATATTCTCGGGATATTTATAGACATTTTAATTTTTCAAGGTTTTACGCAATTTTTTTGGTAGGTGCTCTGTAAATAAAATTGTTAGACTTAACAGAAATGTTTGAAAATTTAACAGGAAGTTCAAAATAAGTCATACGTGGTAAAAAAAAAAAAATTGAATGTAATTTAGGAATTTTATTTTTCATAATTTATAAGTTTTAAAATAAAATGTTGACGAAAATCGTAAATATTACGCCCGTTCAAAATATGCATAACTGGACTCCATTCAGAATCGTTTTTCGTTAGCAACGATTAATCATTGCATACATATATACATTCAATTTCCCCTTTACCTTTTAAACTCTTCTTTTATAACACCGTGCGAAGTGTGTCCGTTTGTTTTTTATTCACACATTTCACATCAAAATTTTGAACATTTCTCTATAATATTAAATAGAGTTAATATAACATCGCATAATACAGGTGAAGGATACACAGACAATCGAATTATACCTGAGAAAAACGGTTCGGTTAGTTTTAGTTAAAACAATCATTTCCAATCCGTTGTTCTGGCAGTATACATTTCGTGGGTAAATATTATTATTGCTCGTAAGATATGTTATACTTACATCAGCCGCATAAAATTGCCATTATCAAGTATTCAGTAAAGATACAAACAATTTGTTCAGAGGGCATGACCTGCAACAAGCTTTATCGAAATACCGCCAAACGCCATAGAGATTTTTAAACGAATAGAAATTAATTAATGACATTAGTAATTATATTATCGTACAACTGGAATAAATCGACACGAATAAATATCCAAAATTATTCAATTTTCGATTAAAATTTATACCATATTTATTATTTAATAAATAGCCACTATTTTAACCTAATTTTAAAAACGTATGAATTTACGGCAGCGCTAATTTTTATGGTGGAAACATTTTTAACATATTTGCCCAATTATAAGCGGAGCGTTGATAAACCGAAGTTGTCCGACCAAAGATCGTATCTACGAGTACGCCTAGGGCTGTGAAAAAATTTAAATATTTATCATTTATTTATCAATAATATATTAATAAATAATAATTATTATAATTTACAAACACTGACTACTGATAATCGATATAATTTCGGTATTTTTATCGCTTATTATTTCATTAATTATTTTCTATATAGATGTAATTTATACGGTAATTATGCTTAATAAACCATATAATGTATTATTATGTTTTCAGTAATCACCAATCGGCACGTATACACCAACTTATTTATTTGTATAAAAATCAAACGCAATTATTTTTTATGTGTAGTTACGTGCAATAATCTTGTAATAATTATTTTTGAACTCAATATATATGGCACAATGAAAGTGTTAGTTAATAATCGAATAATAATAATAATAATATTATAATATTGTCACTCAGCTATTGACTCTTATAGAAATATTTCATAACACTATAATAGACAGCGATTATTGGTTTATGAAATGTGGTGCTATCGAAAAACGCTCGAGATTCGTTAATAATCAGAAAGCGTAACAAACCGTGATGTACACGCACTAAAGGTATAAAACGAGTACCTATAATTCGACATGGGCTCGAATCAAGTCATTTGGTGGGCCTCTAGGCACTTTTTTTTAATAATATGGAGAAATTATGTCATAATAAATTATTTGGCTACACGTACCTATAGGACATAATTATTAAATGTACAGTCATTAAATAAAATTATTTTTATAAATTATTAAATACACAAAGAATAAAAAAAGTTTTGACATTTTTTCTCATCGAATGACCATATCTTTTACCTATTTGATCGGTGTTTTTTTTTCTCGTAGTGTTAATTCGTGTTCTATTGACATAAGGACAATAGTTTATATTTGCATAAGAGTTGACTTTTGCCAATTTGTGCTCGTTTCAATATTGAAAATGATTTTTCACCCTTATATAATGTTCCGAATATTGATATGTATACCTATTCTAAAGGAAATATTTAAATTCGGGAAACTTCATGTTATTTGCATACATATTTGTTTTAGTAATATTTCACTCACCGACATTCCAAGTTCACGAAAGATCTTAAAAATAATAAATTCGTTTACAAATGCATCTTCCAAGTCATTCGAATGTTATACACGGCCATACAAATCCGGTGAGTACCTAGAACGTATACTATATAAAAATGTTTTCCAAAGCGTTGATCCATATATCCTTTTATCCATATATATTATATAAAAGGACAGGCCTTTTTCATGTTTCAATTTTGTGACGAAACTATTTAACTTATTTCCAATTTTTAATTCACAGACTTGTTCCAAATACTCACGTCAGCAGATTTTTCATTTTTCTTTTTTTTTATCGAGGGGAGGGAGAGGGGGATGTATTTAAAAGTTACGGTTTTTTAGCGTGTCATTTAAATAATTTAACAATTTTTTTTTTTTTTTTATAAAGTTATACCAAATACTCCTACTAGTGATCTATGATTTACAATTTCATTTTAATCGATTATAATCGTTTACGCACTCTGTTGTAAATAAACAATGGTCGAAAACGCCGATAAATTAAACTGAAAATAAAAATCTACTGGCCGGTATGTGAACAACTCTCAAACATGAAATTTAAATACTCCTAGGTTGTGTAATGGCACTAGGCACTGTATTGCCTCTCTTACAAAAAATGTAATCGAAGCTGAAATATTGACCGGGTGTGCCAAAGGAGAAAAACTATTTTTACCGAAAATACCATTATACGCCAACGATTTTCCAGTTCAGTTTCCAATAAAAGTTTATTTTTCAATGGAAATAAATAAAGCGCAAGGTCACACTTTAACTTATTGTGATGTAGATTCGGAAAACAACTGTTTCTTACGTGGACCATATTGTAGGTATATGTAGCATTTTCCAGAGTTGGAAGACCTGGCCATTTATACGTTTATGCACCACAGAATAAAATTTTGAAAATGGTATACCAGGAGGTTTTTACTCGAGTCATTTTAGAATAGAGTACCTCAGTATAGAATCATTTGTAAACATCCATAAATAAAGTTAAATTATACAAATTATAATTATAAATATAGAATAATTTTTAATAAAAATATGTGTATATAATCGTTAGAATCATTTGTAAATATTATTAACAATTTTTTTTTGTATTTGTTATTCAGCTATTACTATCATTTCGCAATTATATTAAATTAAGTAAAATCATTTTTTTTTTTTTTTTCTATAAAACACAACAATGAGCGTTGAACTTAAGAATTTCATTAATTTCATTTAGAGAGAGCAAAATCTACACACGGGCGAAGTCAGATAATTCAGCTAGTTTATTATATAAAATAACTTGTCCCGACTGATTTATCATCTTCTAGCCCAAACTACTGGACAGATCGGGCTAAAATTTAGCATACAGGTAACTATTATGACGAAGGTATCGCGCTGAAAAGGATTTTTTCAGATTCATCCCCTAAGCGGTAAAATAGGGGATTTTGGGTATTTTCGATACGAATATCCAATTGTTTATAGGTTTATTTTTGTTTAATCTTAGGTTACCTTAGTGGTACGGATGAAATGTTAAAAAAAAAAATTGGCCCCGACAATGTCAGACGGGACAGCTAGCGGTACGGGAAGGTTTTTGGTATTAAATTTTATTTGTTGATTTACAAGTTATACCTTGGTCCCGTGGATGATAAAATGGTTGTCACAGACAAGATTATTATTATTGTGTTGACCAGATAGGTTATATTTACCTTGTTTGAAATATGTTTAATATGTTTAAAATATTAGGTTATCGAGTTATTTTAAGTAGTTTAATATATTCCAGTTTTTTTCTTTTTTTTTTTAGTTTTTATTCGATAATTTATACATTAAATTATTTTAACAAACATGCTTGACAATAAATTTATCACAAGATTTATTATATTGTAAGTTGTAATAGGTGGTAATGTATAGTAGTTTTTTTTTTTTTTTTTACAATAATTGTTTCAGGATAAAATTTTGACAAAAACAATCAGCATCTCGGAGTTACTTCACATTCTTAACAACGGGGAAAACATTTTATTAAATTTCTTAAAAAATACATTATTGATTCAAACACAAGAAAATTGTAGAAAACAATTGTGTTCGTAAACCGCTGTCGACACGACGGAGAGAGGAATGCGTGAGGACAAATTTTCATTTTAATTAAGCAGGTAAGACTTTCGTATGCAACAATTTTTCAATGGATTTTAAATGAAATAACTCGTTGCGGGCTTCAAATCCTAAATAACAGAAACATAAAATTTCAGTTTACAGACAACACGATTTTAATTATTAATATTTTCACCTTGAGTTCAATTTTTAATTTTTTACACAATAATTCGATTTCAAATTGGAACTTCAATTTTAGACCAGGTTGGCGGTGTAGTTCACTCAAACAACATAACACGTCCAACGTCCACGGGCTGGTAGTGTTAAATACCTATGATGAAACAAAATAGAATTATACTATACCAACAAATTATCAGAAATTAAATCGATAAGAACGAAACGTATTCGACATACTGTGCTATTAGCGCATGTTTCAAGAATTCTCGTAACAAGCGGCAGAGTGTACGTCAGTTTTTCTTCTTGGTACGCCTTTATCAGTAGCGTCTTCAAGTCTTCAAACGTCTTACCGATCGGTTTGTTTTTGGCCAGGGTCATCATCCCGTACCAACTTCCCAAATTGTTCAAAGTTTTCCTACATATAGGACTCTCCTCATCTTTGCTTAATAACGCCTATCGAGATACACGAGATATTATTTTAAAATAAGTCGTATTCATTATCATTGGAGAACGGATTTATATACACCTAAAATCCACAAAAAGCGCTACAAAAAAGATTAAAATAAAATAATTTTTTTCAAATAAATTTGTACGTGTTCTAAAAAAAAAAAATTTTTAAACTTTTTAAAACTACTCAAGTATTCCACTAGTGTTTTTTTACGGATTCTGATTTAATATAATCTGTTCCATAATTATCATATAAAAACTAGTCAAACAAAAAAAAAAATGTTCCTACTCACTTTAATATCTGATTCAGTTTCTAGCGTTATTAATTCCGTGAGAATTTCGTTGTTTAATATGTTCAACAATTTTAAGCACATGCTATGATGACTTGATTCTACGCTGATGCGTTTCGTAATGATATACCGTGCTAACCACGGTAAACATTTCTCTTTGGTTTCAAAGATAATTTTTTTTATTTCTTTACACTATATAAGATATAAAATAAAATAAAAAAAATTATTGACATATTAAACCGGCTACAGCGTATTTTAGTGACATTGTTCGTACAAGTTTTAATTCAAGTAAGTAAATAACAATATAATAATAGTGACCTTGGTTAGTAGATTGCGTTCATCCATCGTGTTAAATATAGCATCTATATTTTCTTTGCAGCGTTTCACAGATCCGTCCGCTTCAATTTTGTCGGTCTGTATAGAACTCGACACGTTGACGGCTAATAAAAATTAAGTATAGGGTATACAAAGAGTATAATTTCTTTTATTCGTAAATTATATTCCTGCGGATATTTTGACTGAATATTATTTTAAATTTAAAGTCCGTATAAAAACGATAGTGTTCGGACGGTTATATAGTTTAACGAACAGACTTATCGTTAAGGTGGTCGTAAAATGGTACGAAATAACTATCGAATTTAACGAAACCGGAAAAATTTGAACGGTTTCAATAACTCTCATCTCCTCAATATTATATTCGAGATGATATATTTTCGAATTCACGATAAACCCTAACCCAACGTTCGTGTCGGGAAAAATTTTATATTGTAGTTATTTTCGTTTTTATAATGTGCGTAGGTAGTGTTCTAATCGGTTCGAACTTCGGCGTAATAAGCGATTCACTTTACAAACATACACACGATTCCGATGTTGGACATTTAATTTTGTATAATAATCACTGCACTCACTTGACGGATCGACGGTTGGCCGTGTTTCGGCGGGCGGTATGACGCGTCGCGTTGTGCCTACGGTCCGGCTCTGACCGACGGTAGTGTGCGGATCTGAAGTTCCAGAGGGTACTTTGCGCGTATCGAGAATAGCCGATTTGGGTTCCAACTTTCGTATGAATTCGCTGTAAATAAATTTACGATTTATCGTTAACAGTGGGTACACGAATTTCGAAAACATTAAAAATATCAAAAATAATATAATACTGTGTCTGTATCTGTGTTTACATTCCCCGTGAAATTAACGACAAACCGTTTTAAAGAAAAAAAAAAACAAATACCTTGTACGAATCGATCGGTACCCACGCATGGTTTTGGAAATGACCGTGCAGGACAAAAAAACGGTATTTTTCTTTTTGTTTAATATGTACCCGTCGCGTACGCGTTTTGCAGTATAGCGGTGACTTTAAATAATTACAATTTGATTTTGTTATAGGATTAAAAAAAAAAAAAAGTTTTATTCCTATAATAACGAAGTTGTTCACATGTTATAACCAAAAGAAATCCGCAAACAAACAAAACGAAAAATTGCAATTTTTATATTTTAACAACAAAACCTGCGTGTAAGCCCATACGAATCGTTTTAAATACCCGAAAGAAAGAGTTAGGGAATTAATTTTGTACGGTTATTTTTATATATAAAAAAAAAAAAATTACACAATTGCACATACTTTATCAACATGATGGCGAATTGTACTAATGCTTCTGCCATAAGTATAGCGATCATGAATAACGACAGCAACCACCGAACGAATTTCGCTACAAACAAAACCAGACGTGACGTAGCAGGAAACATTATTATTGAATGGTTATAACACTAGAACAAAGTAGTATTGCAAATATTTGAATATCAAATCGAAACAAGAGCGAAAACAAAAAACAACCTTTCGGGCTCAACGTTAAATGCAAAGTGACATAATATCTGTTAGCAAATGTACAAGAGCTGTAAAAAAACTGTTGCTAAGTGATAAATAAACCGAAATGTAACATATGATTGACGTTGCGCGTATTTTCCCAGAGTACAATATTATTACTGCCAACATACATTTTAGGGAGCCAAAATGGGGGGAGAGACGCAGTCTCGGGTTGACCCACCGACGTCAACCGAAAACCTAGTCGGTCCCCCCACGGGCGGGGGAGCCCCACTTCACGCCCCGGACCGGCCTGGTCGCTCCGCACTTAGTGCCCCCAAGGTCGAGGAGCCTAACTCGGCTGAAACGTGGTGGTCGTGGGACTGGCGCGAGATAGTGAAGCCGACCCACTGCAACTAGTTGGCGAATCGGGAACCCATCCCGGTCGCGAGAAAGGCACGGGCCTCAAAAGCCCGGGGCCGGTGTTCCCTCCGAAGGCCCTGAACCGACGACGGTTCGTCGTCGTCGCTCCGGCACCACGACCGACCTCGAGTAGCGCCCAGCCACAAAACCTCTGGGGATCAGTTGCCTATATACATGAATAATAAAATAATATAACATCCGGTTTGTGAACCAGTATTTATGTAGGGGGAGGGAAGGGAACGGTTGCAGTTAATTTTGAGGTGGCGGTTAATTTTTTTAAAATTTATGAATTTTACTATAAACATTTGACAATTTTTTTTTTATGTATAATAATTAAATTTATAGGGATTTAATTTCATCTTTCAAGTTTTTGATTCTATAGGTATGTGGATATACTTTTACAGTTGTTAAAACAAACAGAAATTTAACATTAATTATTTAACAGAAAGTTCATTATAATAGTTGCACTATTAATGGTAAAATAAAAAAAAAGTAGAGCGTAACCGTACCTATTTTATTTTTATTTTCTTTAGAGAAACACATTATTTAACACATAAACACATTTATTATTTTAATATTATTTTTGATGAAAATCATAAATATGGCGACCCATGTGAGAGTCATGTTATCAAATGATAATATGCATCAGTGGTCCAAGACTAAATTTCGTGTTTTTTTTTTTTTTTATATTATAATTTTCTATAACGTAATTTTNTGCTTTAGATTCGGAGCGTGGAGAGCTTGTGTTTTTTTTATTTTTCATGTATTTAATGAGTAGTAAAAATTGAAAAAAAAATTTGTTTTCAGAATGTATTGTATCTCAATAGTTAATTGTAGTAGAAAAATTATGTAAAGCAATGCAAAAAATGTCTTACGTGTTCAAGTATTGAACCCGGACCGAACTGTCGGTATGTCTCGTGTATACCATTCCGCATTACTTTTTATTAAGTCAAATCAATATAATATATTATAACATACTTGCGTAATATAAGTAAGTAATTGTTACATAAATTGTTATAAAAATGTATTTTTCTACAACGTGGATGTGTATAAGAAATACTATAACAAATTACCGTAATATATATAACGTTTCCGTGGTGTAGCGGTTATCACATCTGCCTAACACGCAGAAGGTCCCCAGTTCGATCCTGGGCGGAAACAATAATTTTTTGCATTTTTTTTTTTTTATATACTAATCAACATTTAAATCAATTTTAGATTTTGAGTGGAGCGGAAAAGTTTACAATGATGTTTATTTTAATTTGTTTACACAAAAGTTAAGAAAAAACATGATTTAAGAGAAAAAGAACAATAAAAAAAATAAAACCATGGTATTATTTATAATACTATATTATTTCATTTTATATTATAGGCACCTAATATTTATAAATAATATTTTTGCATTACAATGATAACACATTAAAATACTATACAATAGTGTTTACGTACTGAGCAATTTAAGAACTAAAATAAAAAAACAAACGGACATACTTTGTACATGGGTGGGCCACTGTTACAGGTGAGAAGTTGTGAAGGTAGAGGAGAAATTACATCTGTACACAAAGATTAACAATTGCTCACGACAAAAGATTCTAAACGGAGTTCGATTAACAGTGTTAATTTGTCGACAATATATACCGGGTGATCCATTTAAGTGGATACATTCATTATCTCGTAAAGTATTAACTTTTTTCGCAATTTGTTTTCAAGAACATTTAAAAAACAAGCTTCTCTATAATTTTATATTTATGTTATTTTTTTTCACCCTTTTATTTGGTGGTAAAACCTTACCTACTTTGGATTTTCAAATGGTCACCTATAACAAAAAGTCCATAAATATATGTAGTGTATCATTTGTGTGACGGTACGGCGTGCGGCGTGATAATAATGCACCACTATTATCCTCCAACCTAAACTTAAAAATGGAATATCTCTTCAACGGCTTGACAAAAATCAAAAATGTTAACACTCAAATTTATTTTAACTGATAATCCATCTAATTATGGAATTTTTAATATAGGTTGTCGTTTGAAAATCAAAAGTTGGTAAGGATTTACCCACAAATGTAATGGTGACAAATAATAAAATACATTTAAAACTATAGAGCTGCTTGTTTCTTAAATGTTCTAGAAAACAAATTCCAGAGAAAGTTAATACTTTACGAGATAATGAAAGTACCCACTTTGATAGATCATCCGGTATGTCGTGTTATGATAAAATAATTACACATTATATATTTTTTTTAATATTATTTATTTAATATTGTACCTATCTTACTGTTATTCCTCCATTTTGCCTAGTTTTTTCCAATTTTTTGAGAAAAATCATAGAAAAATCAAAATTGACTTCCCTAAAGTACCACCCCAGTGAGATTTCCTTTCAGAAAAAATGCTATAACTGAAAATCGGAGCAAAATTGCCGGTAGAAAAGTTGTCCACAGTAAAAAAAAAAAAAAATAATTTACATCATTGTAAAATCAATACATTCCTCGCTTCCACTCAGAATCTAAAAATAATTTTTTAGAATAAAATTATTTTGAGTTTTGAAAAATGTTTCCAATAGTGTGTAATTAGACGAAAAACCCGTATCTTTTAAGGTACGGCATGAAAAACATAAGTATTTTTGGTTATGCAATCTTAAGTAATCTTTGGTTGATTGAAAAAATTGAAAAAAATAAAGCGGAAAAAAAATTATGTTTCCGCCCAGGATCGAACTGGGGACCTTCTGCGTGTTAGGCAGATGTGATAACCGCTACACCACGGAAACGTTGATAACGAGTTATTTTTATGAATCTTTATAGTGCTGATTATTGTTATTTTTAAATTCTACATATTATTATGGTACGCTATTATTTCGGTCGCTTTCTCTGCTAATGGCTGGAATTTTTCGAGTGTATTTTCACCCACTTTTTAAGTTTTAAGTTAACGCCACTTTTAGTAATTATGTATAATGTCTTAAATTATCTATTCGCAATAACAAAAAAAAGAGCTGATGCCGGTGATGGTAACGAATACTGTTTGTAGGTGTGAAGTTAGAAAGGTAGGATACATAAGGTTATTTCATTTATATCTGTAAGCAACGATAAACTAGTGCTTGGCGAAAGACGATTCCGAGCGCAGTTCGTTAAGACATAATTTGAAGTGCCGTAATTTTTTTTCCGATTTTCGTTTAAATTTGATTTTAAAACGCTTATTAAAAAAAAAAAAATAGGTCGTACGATGATTTTGGAAATTTTTACCTCGTCTAGGTAATTGTATAACCACTTTTAACTCATTTGTCTTAAAAACAAATAGTAATTTTATATTTTTTCATTTAGGTGTGTATAAGAACAGTTGCTCTATACTAAAATTAAATTATTTTTTGAATTTTCAATTATAGAATTAAAGTCAACTAAATAAATCAACAAACTATACAATATGTAAATATTGTAATAAATGAACATTTTTTGTGACAATTTATTTCCTTAAAAATGTAGGCATGGCAATTTTGTATGCAAACGGTAAATAACAGACATCAAACCGTGGTGATTAATGACTATATATTATTTATTCATTGTTATTTACTTACTTGGATTGTTATTTGCTATTATTCTATTATTTAAATAAACAAATAGGTATTTATATTTTTTAACAGATTTATTTTATTTTGTTGATATCTTTTTGGATTTTCAAACAGCAACATAACCTAACCTACATTAACAACTCCATATATGGATGAAGTTTTAGATTAAATACATTTTGGTGTTGACATTTTGTTTTAGCGTCAACGTGTTGACGAGATATTCCACATACAATTTTGGTTAGGGGTAAAGTAGTGGAGCACTAATAAATTTAAAAAAACTAGTACATTATTTGTATAACTTTGGTTGATTCTGGGTTACTTTAGCAACAAAATACTTAGCTCAGAATTGTTTTTCGTCCTTAACATTTTGTTTAAAAATCACGGGTATACTGCGTATGTTCTCAAATATTCGTCATTATACAATATTATAATTGCGTTTTCATACTACCCTTATACCATTTAAACCAAATTAGTGTAAGATTAATTGAATTTATTTTAGTTAATTATAATTAAAAAATCGACAACATTGTCTTACGATCTAAATACTTTTTTTTTTTATTTCAAAAAATTAAAAAAAAATCCATTTCGTAAATTTCCCCGGTTTTCCTACCTTTTTTCCCGGCTTTCCCGTGTTTTTTCTTGGGTTTTCTTAATTACGAAAACCGCTAGAAAAATCAAAAATTTACTTCCCTAAAGTACCACCCCAGTCAGATTTCCTTTCAGGAAAAATGCTATAATTGAAAATCAAAGCAAAATTGTCGGTAGAAAAGTTGTCCACAGTAAAAAAAAAAAATTAATAATTAACACCATTGTAAAACCAACACATTTCTCGCTCCACTCACATTTTTTGGAAATAAAATTATTCCGAGTTTCGAAAAACGTTTCCGACAGTGTGTAATCAAGCGAAAAACCCGTACCTTTTAAGATACGGCATGAAAAACTCAAGTATTTTTACTGACCG